TTTGTTGACGCATTTTGAATAGATATGCATTGTCTGTATCTTAGATCTGGTTTCTCGTGGGGAATAAAGTGTTCAAATTATGCCAAGGTAGTAATTAAGAATGCTGCTGTTGTATGTATTTTTTTTTCTACAACGTTACTCATTGTTATGTATTTAATATCCAGAAATTGCGACACCGACCACTCGATATCAGTCAAGTTCACTGAAGGTCTTTGAACTTCCCGTATCAAACGTGCTTTCCGGCCTCAACTTTATACCCGAGTACTCAATTGCTTCTTAGTCCATTTATTTCTCAAAGGGCGACTGTGTGTTTTTCAAAGTAGAAAGAGGTAAGTTCGGTGATCTAAGTGGAAATATGTCGTGTGTTAGACTAATAGCGATGTTAAGTGTAATTTGCCGATGACGCGTACGTGACTCGCTGGTGACTGAGAGTTGCCCATTGTCACGACATATCCCTAAAAGTAATCAGGTGAGAAAAAGAAAAAGTCTGAAAGAAAGCAGTTAACTTCGATAGACTTTCGCGGTTGTAGGGGAGTCTGTGATATTCGCGAAGTAGCCTACGAGGAAGCTGTCTTATAGCTCCTCTGAGCGGGAAGGAAGGAAGGGTGCGTCACGGATTGACATAGCTGTCACTGTCAGTCGTCTGGTGTTTAAATACTTTGAAAATAAGGGTGTCTACCTGATCAAGGTTGAAAAACTGACTAAAATTACCAAAAAACTACAAGGGAAGTAATCAAGCAACACACAGGCGGCTTTTCTACCTTTCTCTTACACTATTGATCACGTGTACAAGTGAGATTAATATTATGAGGTCACGAGCCAGATGTGCCAATTTTTCTTTGAAAGAGGGAAAAACCCCTATTTGATTATTTATAATTCAAATTTTTGTTTCGCTTTTAGTCGTTTTCAATACATGGTAACGTTAGTTGTGCAAAAAGTCTCGTCGATTCAGAAACTATTCTATTCTAGTGTTTCACATCGACCTGTGCATTAATTCATGAAAACGTTTCTCCATAGGCTATACCGACTTATCTCAATCGTATTTTTGTGTCAGTTTAGCCGAGGTGAAGAACTGAGGTAGGTGTTCGATACCTTATATATGTATAATCTCTGCTGACGCATTTTGAATCCATATGTATGGTGTATGTGTTTTATAACTGATTGCTCGCGGGGCACGAACGCTTGATGTTTAATCAGCTGATAATTAGAAATAATTCAACTAGCAAATGTCAAGAAACTGCTTAGCTCTCACATTTGAAAACCCGGTGAAACGTAAACGAAGCACTGCAGCGGAAGTACGCACTGAAATCGGCGATTTTTGGTCGGACATTTCTGACTGAGTTAGTGTGACAAGTGTGTCAAACGTATTTCTTATAAGCGACTGTTTCTTAGAAAAACACATTATGTCTTCATATGACTGTGGAATGTAATATCCCTGATGTGCACTCATGTAGTTTTAATTTTTGACTTGTCATTGTGTGATGACTTGTGGCTTGTTGAGTGTATTTTATAGGGAGTAGGGAGAGTGGGAACCTTTTGCTTGTCGTTTGGAATACATGTTGCCTTTTTTCCTTTAATTTAAGCTCTTTTTCGCCAGATTGTTCTTTTCTTATAGAACGTTGATTCACGTGTATTACGGTCATACTCTCGCAGCGTCACGAGGCACTTCAATGTTTTTGTTGTTGTTGTTATTTATTTTTTTATTATTTTTTTTAAGTAAGGGAGATCCCCACTGACGTCTGACCTATTGTTACTCTGATTGTGCAAATAAGCGCTCTCAAATTGTTTCCTTTGTCCACGCTCGCGAGAATTGTGAAAAGTTCTTATCTTGGAATGGAAGAGTCCTCTGAGTCTGGCGGGCTGCTGCCAGGAGAGTTAAGTTATACGGCATTGTTTGACTTCAAGCAAGTTCTAGATAATCGCATTCTTTAGAAGTGTTCAGAGAGACCACCAGAAACCAAAAAATGTAACCGAATGAACAAAAATACAATGAATTTAATGTATTTGCCTTTGCATTTTAGTCATGGCGGAAAGTCAAGTCAATTCTCGTGAAGCAAAACTGGATTTTGATGAACATGTTTTAGAAGGTGAGAAGACAAAAACTCCTAATGACTTAACAAGAAATGAAATATTTGACATCAGTTCGAGAGCTCGGCTGGTTAATTATCAAATATTGCAATGGAAACTACGTGGTTTTAAGATAGTTGTGGAACTTGAAGCCCGATGTTACTTTGTAGTGATCGTGAACAAGGTCTACACTGTAGAGTCTGGAAATCTACCTGGGAATAAATAAATAAATAAATACAATAAAATTGGATAAAGATGTAATGATGTGATACAAGACAAACGAGAGATCCGATACCTTCTTCTTTTTTTGTAGAGAACTATTTTGTCGTCTAAGTTTTTCAACGCTATTTGTTACTAATTGTAAATTAATTTTAATTCTGTTGTGGATTATTGTTGTTGGTTATGTAATAGAGCAGTTTTCAATTGAGTATCGTCAAACCAAAACAGTAATAGCTCTAGCCAATCACAAAGGACACAAGCAGACAATTCAGTGAACCAATCAAAACTTGAAACAAATACATGTAGCTGACGCAAAGCGCTGGAAAACGAGCGCGAGCAATTGCAAATAAGGATTGGTTTTGGTTTCACTTCTGATTGGCTGAAAAACTTCGCGAGTATTTTAAACCAATCGTGTAGCGTAGTAATGCAAAACCAATTACTTTTCGACACTCATGTGAAAGCCGCTCTAAAGAGTTTTTTTTTCCCGATGTATTGTCAGTCATAGCTCAAGGCCCAGCTCCAGTCCCACATCCTTCTGATGAAAAACTTGATTTTGATGATGATACTCTAAAAGGTGAGAAAATAACTGACAACTAGTTTATTATCTAATACAGTGTTAATTTTACACCAAATCGAAGCTGTTCAGTTAGTTTTGGTGGCATTTTGAGCTATGGCTTACGAGCCCGGCCCAGAGGTCAGCGATTGGGTCTTCAGGGAAAACTCTGGGGTAAAAAAATAATATATTTTATATTTGACTGGCTATTGACAAGATCAAACAAGCCCGCCATATCGCCGAAGCTGAAGCGTACCAAATAGGTACGATTAATTAATTACTCTATCCAAATTCGACTAAAAAGCTGACCCCATCAGGCCAGTGACTTGATATCTTGTTTTGCTTTATTGAAAAAACAAAACAAAACAAAACAAAACAAAACAAAAACAAACACAAAAACAAGAATAAATCAATAACCGCCCGGTTTGCATGTAAGGCTTCTGCAAGCTTTAAACAATAGTTTCATAAGCGTAACAAGACTGGGGTAGCCTAAAGGGCCTTTTGATAAAATAATTTTAGAATGATATTAATTAAGTAAAATATATGAAAGAACGTGTACCTGAACTGCGGAGAAAGATATGAAGACATGATTGATCATCGCAGTTATAAACACAACTTAAGGAGTTGTGAAATTGTATAATGGTGAAGATACGAGCTAAATTAAAGCCTGGAAATAACTGCTTCACCTTGAAGTTGTGTTTATAACTGCGATGATCAATCGTGTCTTCATATCTTTCCCCGCAGTTCAAATATATGTTCTTTCACATATTCCCTTGTATCTTCACCATCTACGGGTATATTACGAACTCACAGTGACCAGCTCCCAGTTGGCTTGATAGCTCAGCTGATAGAGCACTGCACCGCCGGCTATCGCGGAGGTCATCGGTTCGAATTCCGTTCTTGGGATCCGTTCCTTTTGCAAGCCTGAATTTTTTCAGGCTTTATTTTCACAACTGCTTTTAAGCAGTTGTAAAAGTTAAAACTTGTGTTTACAAATGCGATGATCAATCATTTCTTCAGAGTGATATTAAGTTAAAAATGGTAACTACTGTATTGCAAAGTGAAAACTCGCAAAGCAATTCTCACAAAAGAACTGAAAAAGTTTTAAATGCCATTTGATTCAGACGTGTTTTTCAGAGATAAGCGGCGATGAGGAGAAGGCAACTGCAATTTAGCCTAACTATAAATTGTGCTGATACATAATGTTAGCTGCCCATAGCCGTGTTTCTTTGCAGGCAAATAATCAACTTCTTAAAGGACCTCAGTCACGGTGTTTTGAGTTGTTTTGGCCACATACCAAATCTCCTTTAAACGGAAGGAAACCTGAAAATAATAGCTCAGTAAGATAGAAAAACATTAAAGAGATAATAATGAACCATAGAGGAACAAGGATGGTCAAGGATGGCGAAGATTGACACGGATTGCAAACGACGAATTTGAAAAATTTAGGCTAAACTTTTCAAGATGTGCAAACCGTGACTGAGCTCCTTTAAGTAATTTATGAGTATGGGAAAAAAATTAATCATTCAATGCCGGCACTGTACAAAGTAAGTTACTAATTATATCAGCTTTGCTTTTTCAGCGATAGCAGAAGTCTATCAGGAAGAAGGTGACAAAGAATTCACYAGAAAAGAAGTTTGTAACGCGATATACTTCTACACGGAAGGAATTCAAGTGAACTGTAAGGATTTCCAGCTGAATGCCAAGCTGTACAGCAACAGAGCAACAGCTTATTACCGTCTCGGTAAGATGTTGATCCCATAATTCTTAAATTTATCCACTAATGAAAAGAAATTGTTGCTTTCTTCGTCTTCAGCCTTTCATCGATTATAACAGAAAATATCAATCAAACAGATGACATTGGGATAGTAACTTTCCGGGGGAAAGTATCAGCCCATAGAAATAAACGAGTAATAAACATTCGTCTTACAATAACTGCAGAAATTCTTGCGCGCTCATTGGCTAATTTGCATTGTCAATAACCGGACTATGCAATGAGCAAGAGCGGACAATTTGACAATTTGTTATTGTAAAAAACAAATTTACGTCAGTTTTTCATGCCTCTGTCCTGTTATTGATGGTGAATTTCGTCATAACATTATGAAAGTCGTCAGCTACTTTGACAAAGTTATCACGAAATTCATGATCAATAACAAGACAGACGCATGAAAAACTGACGTCAATTTGTTAAGTAGACCTTTCCCGTATCCTATTTCAGTGTGTACGAACAACAGCACCAGAGCGAGGTTGGAGTAGACATTTTGATACATTTGCTGTATTTTTTTTCCACCCTGACCTCAACTCAGTGCCATTATTTTTTGGAATGTGGGAATGGTCTATTGCCTTTAATGTTCGCCAGTACATTTTCCGGCATTTTCTGGAACCTTCTTCTTCTTCTTCTTCTTCTTCTTCTTCTTCTTCTTCTTCTTCTGTGGATGTAATGTTTTTTCAATTCTATAAATCAGGGAATTTTCACCAGGCCCTGAATGATGCAGCAGCTGCCGTCAAGTTGGAACCAACCTTGACTAAAGCCATAGAAACAGGTAAAATTCTTGACTCAGCTGATTTATAACATGAAGTCGAAAACTATCGTATACGACTCTTTAAATGCAAATGACATTCAGTGTCTTTTTAATGATATTCCTTCGTATAAGCCTCCATTGCAAGCTATTTCCGGTCCAATACCAACTTACGAGCATGGCATTTTACAAGAAAAAATCAGTCAGGTTTTGGATGTTTCCACTTGTGCATTGTAGGTAGTATTTTTTGACCTGATATTAAAAAATCTATTGTAGGAGCAAGCGCTTGTGAGAAGCTACAGTGTTATGAAGACGCCATATCGTGGTGTGAGAAGGGATTGGCAGTATCCTTCATAACATCATGTATATTAATGTTCTTATCCAGCTGTGCAGGGATTCTAGTGAAAGTAGTTGTGGGATAACTTACAAAAAGCTGTGCTCTCCCCCTCTCTTCCCCCTTACATGCCGCTAAAATCCCGCTAATCCCTTTCTCCGTTGTACAGTCGTGGGGGTATGAGTTGTTACTTCGAGGGGCAACTTAATCGAAAAACTTATGAGGAACTGAACCAGTAGAAACTCATTTCGGGAAATAATAGAGAGTTTGAAATTCAATTTTTATCAGTTTGCTCTGTTACTTGACAACCCATATAAAAACAAGTTAGAGATTCAAATGTATAATTATATCAAAAGGTGTAATGTTGCTCTGTCTCCAATATTATTCATCTACACACTAGATAAATAAGCTAAGACAGCCTCCTTCTTACTATCAAAAAAGCCCCCGTTTTTCCGAAGGTTTCCCCTTTCGCTTCAACCAAGACGAAATTGCAACTTGGGTTTCTGTGGTAAAAATAAATGACTTTCCTTTGATTTTTTTTCCAACGCTGACTGTACCCCTGAGGTCAAATCCCTTTGTACTACTACCTGCCGAATTCTCATACAAATTGCCTCCAAAAAAAAAGCCTTTGATTCTTACAGTCACAAATATTAAGTCACGCATTGAATTATCGGGCCGTGTACAGCATTCTTCGCCTGTTAGTAGGTGAGCTAGTTTACATTAATTTCAGCCCTTCTTCGTTACTTACTAATTTTTAGTACATTACATAGCAATATATAGATTAGTTTTTCTCAAAGATATACATGTTATTTACCGGCTGGGAGGTCCGTATAGGGAAAAGTCTGGGAAATGCTGCCCGAGGCCGCAGGCCAAGGGGAAGCGTTTTCAAGGACGAGGTCAGAGTTTCTCAGTATATGGACCTCCCAGCCGGCAAATAACAGGTTTATCCTTTTATTTATGGTAAATTGGTTTACCAGTGGGACTATTTACGCCACTGTGTCTCTTAATCGGCTAAGGTGTCGTCTACAAAACCATTCGTAAAATATCATCCCAACGACTAACTCAGATATTAGATGCAAAAGCATCTATAAAAGAACAGATACATTTCTTACAATTTAATATTGATTGCATTTATTTCACCACTTAAGTGACATTGTCAGAGAAAACCGGGCAGGACCAAAAGATCGAGGCTTCATCATTTCACAGTATAAAAGTTACCCAAATAGATTGACAACCATGACATTTGCCGAAGTAGGCGTTCCATTTTCTTCGAGATATCACCACATGAATTTGGCCCCTCAAGCGGTGTAAAATGGCCGAAATGTTAGGCAGCTGTAGCTGAGCCTAAAAGATTCTTCGCTCAAATTCCAGAATCTCTCGTTTTCGTGTGATAATATTAGTCCTCATATTAGTTGACTAAGATATATTAGAGGTCTTTCGATTTAATTCTACGGTTTTCACGGGCCGTCGAATCGTTAATGAACGTGACCCAAATATTAGCCATTTTCAGCGAGTTGTTATTCACAATTTCGGCAGTCTATTTCCACAAGAAAACATTTTTCTGAAAGTCTTTTACACTGTTATGAATATCCAGTTTAGTTAAAATTGGTATCTACTGGCAAATCGGAGTAATTGGTCTCGCAAAGTCCAATAAAAATTATCAGACAGATATTTCCCGCCAAATGTTTAGCGAATAACATCACTTAAGTCCGACCTCCAGCCATTTTTATCCATGATTTACTAAAAGATCTGCTTAAAATGGGTAGTTGGACTGCAGGATAGATTATTTAGGCTCGACAACGTTATTGATATAGGTAAACGTGTTAAACTCACGAAATTCTCACCATTATTTAGGCTGAATTTTGCCGCGAAAATTCTATTTTTAACGTCACCCTACAGGGGAAAACAAAATGGATGCTCCGGTTTGCTGTTTTTTTTTTTTTTTTTTTTTNTATCACAGCAAGCAAACCGGAGAGAACCAGAGAAAACCGGACAAAACCAAAAGATAGAGGTCGTCCGTTCAAGTTTATCTTTTCACAGTATAAAAGCTATCCGAAAAGATTAACAACCATGACATTTGCCGAGGTAGGCGTTCGTTTTTCTTCGAGATATCATCATGATTTTGGCCCCTTCAGTCGTGTAAAATGGCCGAAATTTCGGACAAATTTAGGTGAGCCTAAAAGATACTTCGTACAAATTCCGGAAACTCTTATTTTCGTTCGATAACATTCGTCCCTTTATTAGTTGACTGAGATATATTTGAGGTTTTTCACTTTCATTCTACGGTTTTCACGACGTGTCAAATATCGCCGCCGAATCGTTAATGAGCGCAACCCAAATTTTAGTCATTTTCAGCAAGTCATTTTCAGAAGTACGGCAGTTTTTCGATAGCTTTTTACACTGTTATCAATATCCAGTTTAGTTAAAATTGGTATCTTCAGGCAAATCGGCGTGATAGGGATATCGAATGGTCCCATTTAATTTAAAAGTGCTCGCAAAATATGGCCTTTGCTCGAATTGCTCGCAAAAATTAGATGTGTGCTCGCTTGCTCGTGCTCGCAAACGTTTTGCAACTGCTCACATGCTCGGATTTTTGTTAAAATTTTCTGCCGTGTATAGCGGAAGCATAATTTGCATCTTGGAAACAAAAATTGCCGCTGGAAACAACGTTTCCCGTATGGCAAAACTAAGAAATGCACGCGCTATGTGAATGTTTCTGGAAACAAGTTCCCTTGTCTTATTGAAACTGACAGGCGTAAGAATTATTCGTGAAAGGCACCCGCAAAGGGGAGAAGGTAATCTAGAATTATGATGACATGAAGAATATTACTATTAATATTTGACTTTCAGAGCCTGTTATAGCTGTATGATGCAATTGGTTAGATCATGGAAGCCTCCAAATGAAGCTTCATGGCGTTAAATCTTTTTCAGTCAATCAGTGGGAAATACGGTTTGCCGGTCATCGAGACCGAAGCTCGAAATGCTTGTCAGACGAAATGCCACGTTCTGTACATTTCCTAAGAATTACACAACCAAACTAAACATGCTTTTTATGTCACAACTTTTTAAAGTCTGAGAGCTTTTAAGATCTTCTTGTGGTGTGTTCACAACGTCAGGAGGTAGGGTAACCCTAGTGCTAGCTAGGGTTACCCTAGAGGGTTACCCTAGCACTCCCACATTTCTCTTTTTTTCTTTTTTCACGGACCTGTTTATAAGGCAGGTAGGGTTACCACGGCTCTAGGGTAGCCCTAACTGAGAACTAGGGCTAGGGCTAGCTTAGCGCTAGGGTAACCCCACCTGCCTTGTAAACGCTCAAAGACGGCAAAATATGATAAAATAGCAGCAAAACAAGCAAATTGTGACTCAAGAAACATCGTACGTATTAATTAACATTTTGTTTTAGCTTTACTTTGAATTGAAAACGTTTCGAATGACAGCTTTTTGCGACCGCAATTTTTGTAATAATGTTTGTCGCTACTGTTTCCACTGTCGCTAAAATATTCATTGCAGAATTGTTTATAGTTTTGCTGTCGAGAGCGCACATATTTTCTCACGTGTGGCAAAGTAGGGTAAATTGTATCTTCCGATTCCTGAAAGAACAAAAAAAAAAATAGGAATAGTTTCACACTTGAACTGAACTACTAAAGAAAAATGTCAGAAACAAAACTATAAACATATTTGATTGATTCAAATTATAAACTTACCCTGTTCTTTCACGGCTTGTTTTTTTCCGCTACACCGACAGTGGTCTCCACAGTGCTTGCGACTTTGGTTTTGGACCACTGGTATTGTTGTATGTTTGTTGGGAGGTTTTATTGGCAGCAGGATTTACAAGATCAGAGAAATGCCCAGGGACGAGCAGAACAGAGCCGGTGAGGTATGGTAACTGATGTTAGTAACTGTATTGCATTTTAACTACCGAATTCACGAATTTGATTNTGAGGTATGGTAACTGGTGTTAGTAACTGTATTGTATTGTAACTAGCGCAAGTTGCCGTATTGTATCGAAAGTAGAGTAAGTGGCAATAGTTGTAAACTCTGAAAAATCTTTTTATTTGAACAAAAATGATTAAAAAACCGAAAAGGGCTTTTACACGCGCTATTTGATAGCTATTTTACAACTATTTTCCTAAAATTGTTTACCTATTTTGAACCTATTTAGTTGCTATTTGTATGCTATTTTCATGTAAATACTATTTTATTCCTATTTTTCATCAAATGTGCCACTCACTACGCTATTTTATAGCTATTTTGAACGCGCTTTTCTCCTGTTATTTATGATCTTTCTGGACAGGGATAAAATAGTTTTAAAATAGGGTTTTTATTTTAAAACTATTTTATCCCTGTTTTATGCCATTTTCAGCCTATAGTCTGTATCTCTATTTTATGTCTATTTTAAGGCTTTCTTCAACCTATTTTATTTTCAGCTTCTTAAATCTTCATTCATATACTTTAAAGCTATTTTAAGGCTAATTTACAGACGTTTAACTCAATTATTACTCTGGACTATTTTGTTCTTGCTATTTTGGTTTTAAAATAATAGGTTTAAAAGTAGATGAAAAGTTGCTTTAAAATATTCCAGAAAAATGGTAAAAAAAAAAAAAAAAAAAAAAAAAAAATTACAAAAACCTTAGAGAAAAATAGCATATATTTAATAGGTATAAAATGGATATAAAATTGGCATTATTTTCGTAAGGGAACCTGAGAGACATATGACCCACATCTGAAGTGGTCGAAGAGGGGATCCTGAATGTAAAAATTTATTGACCATAACCAGTACACTGGGGAGCCTTGATGACGGTAACTCGGAAATTACACTGCCTCCTGTGTTTCACATTTTCCACTTTATGTTACAGAACCAGCGGAAGATAAACAAAATGTTGCAGAGCCTTGCAGAGTTCCTTATGCATGTAGGGGTCGTATGGGCGATCTGCTTCGTATGCACGATCCTCTTGGCCTTCGGGATCATCTATGAATGGGTGTCAAATGCAAACCCAGGTACTCAGATGGGATTTGGTTTGGGTGGATGCATTGGCGTCATCGGTTTTGCCTTTGGACCCTTAGGTGGGGTCGCTGGTACTGCGATAGGAGGGTTGCTGGGAGGTTTTATTGGCGGCGGGATATATGAGGAACGGTTGTTACCTTTACTCCGTGGCAGTTGAGTTTTAAGCGCAACAGAGCAATAGGATAAAAGAACAATCGAAACCTACAGATGTAAATCATTAATTGAATCATTCATGGCGGTTTGCAAATGAATCTGACGGGTCTCAAGTAGTTTAGGCGTAACATACTTTCTGATTGATTTCTTATTTTATCTAGCTAGTCACTCCACTAGATGGCATGGACTATTTAACTACTGACTGTTAAGTACTGAAGTTTNGATGCATTTTCGTGATCGGTTTTGTCTTTGGACCCCTGGGTGAGATCGTTGGTATGGCCATAGGATTGTTGTTGGGAGGTTTTATTGGCAGCGTGATGTACAGGCATGGAGAAGCACTCAGTTACCAGGTAGGCAGAGCCAATGAGGTACGGATGATAGCCGCACTCCTTCAACTGAACAAGATAACAGGACAATCAGAACCTACAGATGAAAATCAGTAATGGAAACATTTATGGCGGTTTGCAAATGAATCTGAGGCGCCTCGAGTAGTTTAGGCGTAACATATTTTCTGATTGATTTCTTCTTTTATCCAGCTAATCACTCCACTGGATTGCATGGACTGTTTAATTACTGACTGTAGTACGGAAGTTCGAAATGTTACATACACCTTGTGGAATCTTTGAAAACCACTTTTGATGCATTGTGTAGTTCCAGAAAATACCTATACCTCACCCACGGAACTGGAAGGGATGTTGTCCAAGACCCCCTGCCCACCCCTCTGGAAATTCCAAGTAAGCTTCATACATTTCTTTAAATGTTTTGATCTTACAGATGCAGCCCCCCTCCCCCGCAACACCCCTCAGGAAATTCCAAACCTTTCTGTGGAGGTAGTATGAATATTTCTGGAACTGCACATTATCACTCTTCCAAACTACACATCAAAGCACTATGTAATGACAATCATTTGCTTTTTTACAGCACATATATATGTTACTTGCCGGCTGGGAGGTCCGTATAGTGAAAATCTGTGACCGAGGTCTTGAAAATGCTGCCCGAGGCCGCAGACCAAGGGCAGCATTTTCAAGCCCGAGGTCACAGTTTCACTATACGGACCGACCCTAAGCCGGCAAATAACATATTTATTTTTTTCCTGCGCTAAATTGGCCAAAACCAATTTCTCTCAGTCGTTGCGAATCACTCGAAATCTGACTTTCCTACCGTAAATTGAGTAGCAGAAAGCAAGGAAATCCGTTAAGTGTATTCCACAGAAATTCTCTTAAATACAGAAACGATCAGAGAGGTAAACTCGACTGCAATTGACCTTTTTTGCGTAAATTGTACGGCGAGAGAAACACAGGATTACGCGCCATTACAGCGCTGAACTACAAGCAACCAAACAAACTCTCAGAACTTCAAAATACTCAATTGAATTTACTTAATGTGACTTCCCTTGCCATTTAAAAGTGAATAGAGAGAACTTGTGTGGATTAATCGTCGATGGAGGTGTAAAAAGGGCAAAGGTTGACCATTACCGCTAGCTCACTCACAAAAATTGACCAACACGACAATTTCACCCGCGCTGTTTCCCGCCGTTACCGTAGCCGTGGTCAGAGATAGGAAAATCCGGACCGCGCTAAGAACCAATCGGATTACAGGATTGGTTACCGTGCTCTCTTGGGAAAAAATAAAAAGGTTATATGTCAGAAATATGACAAATCGTGTATTTCTAATCTGAGGATCAAGAGTAATTTTCCATATAAGGGTATTTAGATGTGCTGGTGATAATGTTCTACTAGTAAATTAAGCGAGCCAAGCAGCCAACAAACTTTGTATAGTTGGGGTATCACATTGCAGAGAAGCTGATAAACCAGTAGCCTCTTAATTAATGGTATGTTAGAGACAACAGAGGTGATAGACCAGTAGCATCTTAATTAATGGTATGTTTCAGACAATAGAGGGATTCCCAAAAGAAAGATTCGAGTGTCTAGTAAATAGAGGATATTACACGGTGGCGAGAAGATATGAATTTTATGTTCGAGTGGCAAGAACGAGTGAGCACAGAGAACGAGTAACCCACAAAACCGTAACCCACAAACCTGCTATTGAAGGAGAGCATCTCAAATTAAACAGTTCAAAGCCAGGGGTGTCGTCGAAGAATGTGAGGCATCTCTTGACCATAACCAGTACCCTGCTGAACCCTGATGATGGTAACTTGGGAATTGTCTTTTATGCTTCCTGTGTTTCACATTTTGCACTTTATGTTGCAGAACCCACGGAGCATAGAGAAAATGTCGGAGAGCCTACTACGCTTCCCTATGTTGTGGACCTCGCCAGATTCCATTATGGGAGTCGTATGGACGATCATCATCGTACGCCTGTCCATGATGGTCTTCGAATACTTGTTCTGGCGGGTGTCACTTGTAAACCCAGGTACCCTGATAGGACTTGGTGTGGCTGGATGCATTGGCATGCTCGGTTTTGTCGTGGGACTTTGGGATGGGATCATTGGTATTGCTGTGTGTTTGTGGGGAAGTTGTATTGGCAGCGGGACGTACAGGTACGAAGATGGGCCCAGGTATCAGCAGAACAGAGAAAGTGAGAAGCAGATGTTAGCTCAAGTACTCCGCGAGAGTAATAGAAGTAATAGAGGAAGTAATAAAGGAAGTAATGGAAGTAATAGAGGCAAGAAAAAGTTAACAGTACAATCAGAACCTACAGATGTAAATCATTAATGGAAACATTTATGGCGGTTTGCAAATGAATCTGAGGCGCCTCGAGTAGTTTAGGCATCGCATACTGTCTGATTGATATCTTCTTTTACCGAGCTAATCACTGCACTGGATTGCATGGACTATTAAATTACTGACTGTAGTACACCTTGGGGAATCTTTAGAAACCACTTTTGATACATTGTCAAGGTTCACCAAACTACACATCAGAAGCAGTATGCAATGACACACTTCTTTTTACAGCATATGAAGGTCATATGTGAGAAATCAAATGACATATTATATTTCTAATCTGAGGATCAAGAGTAATTTTCCTTCTCAAGGGTATTTAGATGTGCTGGTGATTATGTTCTACTAGTAAATTAAGCAAGCAAAACAACCAACAAACTTTGTTTCATTGGGGGTATTACATCATAGAAAAGCTGATAAACCAGTAGCCTCTTAATTAATGGTATGTTTCAAGCAACAGAGGGATTCCCAAAAGAAAGTGCCGAGCGGCTTCAAATAATAGTTCCTAAAGCATAATTTACGACTACTAGCTTAATATTTTAATAGTTAAGGAGGCGTAGTTGAGTCATTGTTAAGCTGGTAGAGCTTAATACAGTTGTACAAGTTAGAGCTATAGTACAAGGAAGGTGTAAGAATTACAACATTAGGTCTTGGTATTCCTGCTTGATGCTACAATACTCTAGCAAATATGATACATGTTCTGTTATTGATCATGAGGTTCGTCATAACATTGTCAAAGTAGCTGTGGATCCACGAGACGATAGTATTTATGTTTTGAGGACAGTAAAATATCTTCATGTTGTTCTTCTCAGTGTGTTATTGTTATCCTTCCCCATCACCCGTTGCTGAACAAACCTGGAAAGACACGAGTAGTTTTTGATTATGCCGCAAAACACAAAGAAACGTCTCTGAATGATCAGCTCCTTACTGGATCAGATCTGACCAATTCTATCGTTGGTGTACTGATGAGATTTCGTGAAGAACAAGTTGCATTGTCTGCTGATATTGCGTGTATGTTGCATTAGATCCGAGTAGCACCAGATGACCGTGACGCAGTCAGATTCCTCTGGTGGCCAGACGGGGACTTGACCCTACAACCAATTGACCATCGTATGGAGATCCATTTGTTTGGCGCGACATCGTCTGCAGAAGACAAGGGTGAATTCTCAGAGGATGTAGTCAAGACTGTCAAAAGGAACTTTTATGTTGATGACTGTCTGGAATCGGTTAAATCAGTTGAAAATGCTGTCGAAGTTGTGGACCAGCTCCGTGAAATCCTCTCCAAAGGCGGTTTTCGACTCACCAAGTGGTCCTGCAACAGATCCCAAGTTCTGGATACAATTCCGCAAGTCGGGAAAGCTCAATCAGTGCTAGATCTTGACCTAGACAAGGATAAGCTACCAATGCAACGTACATTGGGGCTCCATTGGGATACGGAGAGTGACAAGTTCATGTTCAAGGTTGCTCCTAAAGACAGACTAAGCACCCGCCCTGGTATATTATCCTTGATCAGTTCTGTTTATGATCCACTTGGGTTCGTTGCGCCAGTCGTCCTCTCAGCCAAGAAATTCCTACAACATCTCTTCAGAGAGAAACGTGGATGGGACGATTCAATCAGCGATTGTGGTGGCGAAAGGTCGGAGAAGTGGAAAGGTCATTTGGCCAATCTTATCCTGATAACGGTAGACAAATGCGTTAGACCGGCCTGTTTTTGAGACTTGAAAATTGCCGAGTTGCATAACTTTGCAGATGTGTCTCAAATCGCTTATGGAGCTGTCACGTATTTCAGATTAGTGGATGTCGAAGAAAGGATGCATTGCGCCTTTCTAATCGGGAATTCTCGCCTTGCTTGTCTGAGACCAATGACTGTGCTAAGGTTGGAACTGTCAGCTGCAGTAAGAGAAGAGCTGGATATTCTGATTAACCAATCGACATTTTGGCCAGACTTTACTTGTGTGTTGCAGTACATCAGAAATCAGTCAAAGCGTTTCCATACATTTGTTGCAAACCGGTTGTCAGTTATACATGAGAATTCAGCACCCTATCAGTGGAGACATATCAGATCTGAATACAACCCAGCGGATAAGGCTACCAGAGGTCTTACAGTGGACGAAATGAGTACAGGCAGCAAGTGACTTAGCGGTCGCGAGTTTTTGAAGAAGAAGGAAGAGTTCTGGCCTTGTGATCCTACAATTCGCAAACCAGAACTATCAGATGACGATCCTGAGATCAAACGTGAAACTCAGCTCTACAACTAGTCGTCGACTCGTCATGCAGGCGAGTTGCTTTTCCAGCTGCGATGTACGTTCGCAGAACACCACTCATCTGCTTGGCCGCCATCTTGAATATGCACGAGCAACAGTCCCAGGTTACATTGCGCGATCTGCAAGGACGGAGAGGGTGTTTCCCCCACCAAACCAGAATGCACTAATACGGGTTTACCGTCACACATTTAAAAGAATAATTAGGCAATTTCATCTGACAAGTTAAGTATCAGGCTTTTTCTTGTTCTCATGCTAATTTGGGTAATTGTTATCAAAATACCACTGCGGCAAAGGAAAAAACGACACGATTTATCCTGAAAGTGAAACTTGTCGTTTTAAGGCGGGGGATACCTGAAATTCTGTAACAAATTCGAATTTTCTTTTTCACCAGAATTTGAATCTTCAGGTATTGAAGTGTTATTCTGAGAATTTCTGTTACTGTAAGTTCAAAGCTCGAGTTATTTTTGACTTTGAGAAAAGATACTTTGAGAAGGATTTGTCAAATTGATCTGAAATTTTCAGGATTTGTAGTTCTAAGTAAGTTTTGTGTTTCAAACATAGAACTTTTCCATCCAGTGCATTTTGACGAAGTCATGCATTGAAACGTATGCTGGATTTTCTGTTTCAGATTTGACTGGTCACCATGTCGTGCTTTTAACTTTTCAAAAATCTCTAGGCTTAAAACAGTTAGCTATTTGTCCTCTTCCAAAAAATTAAAAAATTATTTACTTTGATCAGTTCTTGTAGGAGTTATCTTTTCTCAAATAAGCCCTGGTATTCCCCAGCGAGTGGCAGATTTAATCAGCTGGTGCCAGGTTACAATACAATTCTAGGGTACAAAAATATTTTTTTCATAATCTTTGGTCTTTAAGCTTTCTAAAACTGAATACTTTGCCATGGTTTGGAATTAAATCTTAGCCATGAAAAAATTTTGAAAAAATGATGTGTTTTCAGGTGTACCCCGCCGTAACTGTTTAAGAGCGTAAATCCGAAAATATCGAGAATCGGCCGACAGAAGCGAAAGAACGAATTGTTTCTTATTTGACCAAAAGAACCCTTTTGGCTAACTATTTTCGGAAATGGCATCAAAAGGTTCGATTTTCTTTTCTTCGAAATTTGCAAAACTTGAGAATTCGGCCACAGGGCCTACAGCGGCGGCCTTGAGGCTTGAAATTTGGCGCATGTTTAACATGCTCGTACAGGCGTACCAAACGTTGTCTTAACATGTCCTTTACACAGTTTGTGGGGCATCTCTTAAAGTTTACTCGGGGCTAAATTTTGTTTAAAAATGTTTTTTACAAAATAGTTAACCCTCGGAAGCTGAACCATTTACGGACCTAAAGTGAAAAGGCTAATATTAGCAAACTTTGAACTTGTCAAATGCTATCTGTTATATTACAGTCAAGTAAATAAATATAACCAAATCAAAGCAGGTTCTCTATTCTACTTGCCTGGAAAAAATTACAGGTGGCCCGTAAAAACTGTTCCGTTGAGAGAATTTTCCGTAAGGTCATTTTGACGCATATCTGACTTAATTATTCAATCATTGCGCAATTGCCATTGTTCCGACTATTTTTTCATTTTATATATTTCCACTAGATCTTCTAAGGTAAAAAAGTTCAAACAAGTTTTTACAACTCAGCTTATCAATACACTAGTCTGTTTGTTTTTTCAATAGCACTATTACTTTATCAAGAGTCACGCAAACTATTTCACACGGTAGCGAACTTGACTATGGCTTCGATGGATCCTTTTTGACATGATTCTTATGCAATATAGCTAATACTTTTGTTATAACGAGTACAGATAGCCACTCAAGCAATGGAAATACAAAATTCGTGAAACGTGAAAGGGTTATCTTTAAAACATAGACAACAACTATAATTAAATTAAACAAGGAACGTCGCGTTAAACTTTACAGTATCAATACCACTAGTAAATACTTGCCTGCTTTGCTGTAGTATTTTCATATGCAAAATTTCCATTCACGAAAAAGTTTGAGATATGGTATATTCCAGAATCGGTGTATATTAGTAAGACGTTATTTATATTTCTTACTTTATGGTTAAATATTTCACACTCGAGCTTCGGAATAAACTGAGTAGACATTATTAAATTAAATGGAAATCCTTGAAAACGTAAATTAACAAATTCATTCCTAGCTTTGGAATTCTCAATAGGCTGGTCAGTTTAGATCTTCATCGCAATACTACTTTTTTCATAAAGTTTACCTTGATGAAGATACGATTTTCAGGCCAGTGAAAATACTTGTTCCTCAATTACACCCCTAAATTGTGTTGCGTGACAATGTGATCAGCAATTGATTTGCCTGAAATATCATTACCTCTCTTAAAATATTAAGAGGCCTGCTCTATTAGATGCCAATTTTTGTGTTCTTTCAATCCTTCCTTTAAGCTGCAGTCCGCCGCTTTGCTCTATATTTGTTTTTTGTGAGGATAGGCCGTCGGTACTGTGAAAATAGTGTGCTATATTACATGGCACTCTTGCTTTGCGTGACTTCAAAAATCTGCTAGGAGAAAGGACGAAGGAAATAAGACAGGTAGTGATGCTTTAGTGCCTCTCAATTCCAAATTTTTCTTTTATTAGT